CCTATGCACAATATAACATGGATGTTATTTATTTCAAATTTTTGGATACTTCCAGTTATGTCTATTGCATTAGATTCTGGTGATGTAAGTTGAAATAAAAATACATCATATAATGTTTAGGTTTGCATAATCTGCTAGATCATTATGTTGCTTTCTTTGGATTTCTTGTAATAAACACAAATTTGCCACGTATCTCGTCATGGGATATACTAAGTAGTTCACAATGATAAAGAAATAAAAAGCACGTTAAAACAAAGAAAGTAAAATGGCAGAAAAAGAAAACAAGGAAAAAGAAAAAAAAAGTAAATCAAATATGACTAGTAAAAAAGTTGAGCATTGGGGAGCAGAGGAGGGGAGGTGGAGTCTGCTGTCAATCTAGACTAAAGCCACCTCCAGAGTTGAGTTTCTCCATTGGGTCCCCAGACAGATTTTTAGAACTAGGTCTTCAGACTCTTATGAAAGGATAGGATGTGGGGGTAGATCTTACCCTAGAGGGCAGGGTATTCCAAAGAGCAGGTGCTGCAGTAGAGAAGGCTCCTCTTCTGGATCCTGACAGAGTTCTTTGACTGATGGGATCTGCAATAGGGCCGCTCTGCTGGAGTGAATAGGACAGGATAGTTGTAGTGGGACAATACATTTCATTAGATAGCCTGGACCTATGCCATTAAGAGCTTTAAAAGTCATAATCAGCATCTTGAACTACATTCGGAAGCAGATGGGTAGCCAGTGTAGTTTGTGGAGCAGAGGGGTAATAATAGCCCAATACTGCTCTCACTGCCATACTTTGCACTAATTTAAGCTTTCAAATGGATTTCAAGCCCATATGGAATATATTTCAATAGTCCAAATGAGAATTGACTAGGGCTTGAGTAACTCAGCACAAGGATTCACAAACCAGGAAAGGTGGCAGCTGGTGCACAAACTGGAGCTATGCAAAATTCTCATAGTCATGCCTGTTCCGTGCTCTTCGAGCAGGAGATGTGAATCCAGGAGAACCCTCAAGTTGCAAAATGGATCTGAACAGGGAAGTGCAACCCCGTCTAGAACTAGGCATGACAATCTCAGATCCCAAAGGCACTCAGTCTTGCCAGGGTTCATTTGAAATCTGTTGTTTCCCATCTAGGACCTCACAGCCTCCAAGCATTGCAAGAGAGCAGAGACAGCATTACTCATGTATAGAGATGTAGAGCTGAATGTCATTGGCATATTGATGATATCTCAATGCAGCGACTTCATGTAGATGTTAAATAGGAGAGTATAAACCTTATGGAATGCTGCAAGTGAGCAGGCCAGGGGTTGGATCTCACTCCCTATCAATACCAATTGTAACCAACCTCAGAGAAATGAGCTGAACTGGTTTAAAGCTGTGCTGTCCAGCATCCAACTTATGAAGCTGACCAAAAGAATACCATGGTCGATGGTATCAATGGCCATTTAAAGGTCAAGAGGAGTGAGAATGGTTGCACTATTTTCATTTCACTCTCACCAGAGACCGTCCATAAGTCTCTGTCCCAAAACTAGGCCTGAATCCAGGCCTTGAAAGAGGTCCAGGAAATCCTTTTCATACAAGACTCTCTGGAGCTGCTAAGCAACTGCCTTTTCTATCGTTTTCAGGAAGATGGGAAACTGGACAGAAATTGTCCAGGCAGGTGAGATCAAGTGATAGTTTCTTAAGGAGAGGACAAACCAGAGCTTCCTCAAAAAGTCCTAGGAATATCCCCTCCCGCAGTGAGGAATTTATTACTGCATGAATACACTTGCTGCTCATGGTGAATCACCAGCCTGGAGGGACAAGAATCTATGGAGAGATAGTTGAATTGACAACACAAAGGACCCTGTCCTCTTCCCTAGGAGCAACAGGGTCAAACTGATCCCATATTACTAGGCAAGATGACTCCCTAGACATCTCATGAGGATCTGCAGCACAGAAGGGTTTCAACCGGGAACAAAGGTCAGTGATTTTTCAGGAAATTCTTCTGCTTGGCCTTGGAAATGATTGTTCAAGCCTCCCCGCCCCCCCCCCCCCCCCAAAAAAAATAAAAATCCCCAAGCCTAGGAGGGATCCGGCAATAGGAACAGGGCCGAAGAGCGATTTTGCAGATGCAATAAGAACAGAGAAGTATTATTTTTTCATTTTATGGAAAACGCAATATTTCATTGTAGTGCAGAGTTAGCAAGAGCACTAAAACTTATATATCACTGTACAGTACTTTACAGCAATTCCTAACCTGTTTGTTACCAGGAACCAGTTTTATGGAAGACAATTTTTCCACTGTCTGAGGGGTGGGGTGGAAATTGTGCAACCTAGATTCTACGCATGCACAGTTTCACTCACCTGCCTCTCATCTCCAGCTGTGTGGTTCAGTTCCTAATAGGCCACAGACCAGTACTGGTCCACAGCCTGGAGGTGGGGGACCCTTGCTTTACAACACTCTTTGTATAGTTTACAATATCAGCATATTGACCTCAACAATCTGTGTCCTCATTTTACTGACTCAGAAGGATGGAAAGCTAAGTCAACTTTGAGCCTATCAGGATCAAACTCCTGTCTACAGGCAGAGTTAGTCTCTGATATTGCATTCTAACCACTGTGTTACTACAACTCTTTTTAGATCTTAATAGCAGACTTATCCTCATCTCCAGTGGCAATCTAGGTGCCTCAATTTCAGAACCTTTAATTCCTCTGTGAACCATGGAAAATAATGGGAGCGAAGGGTTAAGAGAGATTAAATAGGGTTAGAGTTAGCAAATCCTTCAGGATATCTCCCAGTTCCTTCTGGGTCCATCAGCCTCTGGGGGCAGACCATTTGGGTGGGTCTGGTCTCTGCAGAGTCGGGTGGTGTAACAGAGTCTCAAGGATATTTTTAGATTCCCCATATAGATCACATTGGCATTGCTCCTATAAGACTATTAGTTCTAGTCTATGACCAGTGTTCTGGGTTGGATCTATGACATGGCTGCCATGGATATTATGAACAGCCACTTCTCAGGCTGAGTGGAAGGAAGGCAGATTGAAGTCACTTGAAATCAGAAGTTTGGGGAACTTCACTACTGATCCAGAGACCAGATATGCAGCCTAACTTCTAGTGACTATGTCATATGTCATAGAGCCTTGGGTGTAAGGAAATAGTGTTACATATAAACTAGACCACAGTGAAAGTTCTATATACATCCTGCTCTTTATGCTCCAAATTTCCTCTTCTTCCCCTGTGTACTTCATACTCTCTTCCCCGCATCTTTCAATTATAAATGATGGTTTGTTGCACAGTTGTTCAGATTGGATTTGGCATTTTTGTCACCTATCAAGTCCTTTCCAAGGACCTGGGATAGGCAGATGTAGACGTTTGATGGTGTTACAGATATCATTGCAGGATGTAAACTGTTCGAGTAAAGTCAGCTTTTGCAATTGACTAATAGTGTATGTCAGTGCCAATGGTGTTCAAGTGGTGCTCCAGATGTTTTGAAGTTGAATCCATTATTATTTAGTGTCTGATCATTTTAATGTTTACTGACATTCAATGTTTGTAAACCCAGATGGGCAGCACACAAATCTAATAAATCAAATAAAATAATAAAGAAAATTTATAAACCATTGGATCTACAGTAACTTGTACTTTCTTAGAAAATTGAAGTCTGCCTGACACTATCGCTTATAATACAGATCAGACTTAAAGCTTGTTCCCATTTGTTTTACACTTTTATTCCTTTCTTTGCAATATGCTGCAGAACTGTAAATGTCTATTACTTCTGCATTGTTTTGGATTTACTTGTTCTTCCCAGAATATCTCACACATGTTTGTGTGTGTGTGTGCATTTTTCTCTGCATTGAAATAAACTTTAAGAAATAGATAATTGCCATAATAACTAAGAAACTAGAAAAACGAAGTTGGAATTGATCATTTAATTTTAGAAACTTGGGGCGTGGCAAAGTGTTTAATAGGAAGTAAGGAAATAATATAGAACAAAGATCAGTTTTCCTTCTGAATAAAGCTAAAGGTTTTTTAAAAACATTTTTATTAAGGTTTTTTTTTTTAAATTTGATTTATGTGCCGCCCTTCTTCGGAGACTCAGGGTGGCTTACAATGCGTTAAGCAATAGCCTTCATACTTTTGTATATTTATACAAAGTCAGCTTATTGCCCCCACAAACTGGGTCCTCAATTTATCTACCTTAGAAAGGATGGAAGGCTGAGTCGACCTTGAGCCTGGGAAGAATTGAACTCGCAGTAATTGCAGGCAGCTGGATGTTAAATGCTGCCTTAGGAGGCATTAGCCTCCTACGCCACTCAGGCTCAAGTTATAGAGTATTATAAAATACAAAAGTAAATAGAAGAGCAGGGGCGGAGGGGGAACTGAAGTGAGGGAAGATGGGGGGAGGGGAGAAAAAGAAGCATTGACTTCCGAGTCTGTTACATTAAAATAAGGCATTAGCATCAAATCACAACTTTTTGCTTTTCCATAATAATATGAACAAGTCATTTCTATCTATCAGTATAATCTGTAAAATCCAAAGTCAGAGTTTCATTCTTTTCCACATCAAGCATGAAGTTCAGAAGCGGATCTTTTTTTTTAAATCAAGCTCAGTACCTTGTGATTACATGGACAAGTTATTAAATGAACCTTCCTCAGTCTAGTAATTTTCGAATACATGGAGTGGAAAAGGAGATCTTATCATCATTAATCATAAAACTCCTTATAGTTTGGATTTAGATAATTGTCATCAGCACCAGATCTACTTTGCTATATGAAAGATTGTCTTCCTATATTTAAATATTTTTATTGAAATTTAACACTTGCAAAGTTATGAATTGAATTTAGATTTGACCTTATAGTATATACACTGATATTAGAAGTCAACATGCAGCCCTGTGTCTATAAACCTATTAAAATAAAACATTATTACTGTCATGGAATTTTTAATGGAGTGTGGCAGAAAATAATGTTCTAAGCTAATGGGACATGCAGAGAACCCAATTTCTGTTCCTTTCTCTCTTTCTTTAGCTGCTTTTTTAACGCAAACGGTATGTCTTGATGACACAACAGTAAAATTTGAAATTTGGGATACAGCTGGTCAAGAACGGTACCACAGTTTGGCACCAATGTATTACAGAGGAGCACAGGCAGCTATAGTTGTATACGATATTACCAATGAGGTAGGTAAAGTTAATGTGATAGTTGAAATCTTTGTTATCAATAAAAACATTGGTATAATATTAATTTATACAATATGAAATAGTATTTCCATCATAACAAATATTTTTGCTTTATTTTTAACATATGACGGCAGTTGTTCAATAACATAGTTTATTTACATTCAAAAATTTTAGGATGAGAGCATTTTCCCCCCTCTCCTGCCATTTCCTAAGTATTAGGGCTTTTTTAACTTTAGAATAGATTTCAGGAAACCATTTTCTGCTATATATTGCTCCTAAAATTGCTGTTGTTTTTCAGTCTTCAAAGCAATTTGCAGTATATATTCCCAAATTGTCTTGTTCTTTTGCAAAATATTGCAAAGGTTGGTTCTATACCATAGAATATCAAATTATACTATTGTGCTTTTGATCACCCAAACTTTTCACTGGATGAAAAGCACTGCTATCCATTATGAAGCTACAGCACAAAAAACACATTTTGGATAGTTTTCCTTCAAGTTTAATTAAGATAATTTCATATTTTTATACCGTTATCATTTCTGCATCTTATGTGGGTTGTTGCTATGTTGCCTTGTTAATTTTTATTTTTTATAATATTAATATTCAATATGAAAGCCAGCTGGGTGACTTTGGGCCAGTCAGTTTCTCTCACCTCACAAGATTGTTGTTGTGGGAAAAATAGGAGGAAGAAACTGTTGGAAATGTTTGCTACCTTGAGTTATTTGTAAAGATAATACAGGTGGAGTATATATTAATAAATAAAATAAATATATAGTAAATAAATAATTTGTTATTATAATTTTTATTCATGTATCCATTTTAAAAGTTAAAGTAATGAGTGAACATCTACATTATGTCATGTTTTTTCCATTCTTTGTTTTAAGATATTAAAATAATTTTGTAATATATCTACATTTATTATAGAATATTTTTTATAGATTGAGATCTATTTCATCAAAAGTATAAAGAATAAGAAGATATATATTCAAGATATAGTACAATAAAGTAATAAAATTATTAAAGGAAAAAATGTAGGAATGGAAGACTAATAAGCTATATAGATGCTGGCTGTTTACAAAACATTTTACTTTGCCTATTTCACGTTAATGACGTGGCTATTTTATAGATTAATTTATAATGTTGAACAAATTTTCATTGAAGCAGGAGTTTGTAAAATTAGGAGTTTATGCAACAAAAGAGTAAACAGAATTAAATTAAAATGTAGTTTTTGGCATTGGATATCAAGCCATATCCTTTTATTGGCATCTTGTAAAATGGAAAAAGAAATGCATTTTTTCTTTAAATACTTGACAGGAATCTTTTGCAAGAGCAAAAAACTGGGTAAAAGAACTCCAGAGGCAAGCAAGCCCCAACATTGTAATAGCTTTAGCAGGAAATAAGGCTGATCTAGCTAACAAAAGGGCTGTAGATTTTCAGGTAAGTTTTAGTTCTAATATTTTTGTCTGAAATTGTAGCTTTGCTGAAATAATATATAGAAATGTAAAACACTGTAGTAATATTATTACTTGGATAGGATACTGCTAGTTAGGTGTTCATTTTGTGATTTATACTATGAATATTCTAAGTCATCACTCATCTTCTGAAACATCGAAATCTACTTATCAATGTAAAAATAATATCTGGAATGACAGTGGCTGGGAAGCAAATGATAGTAATTACAATTGTACCTCGGTATTTGACTGCTTCAAAACTCGTAAATTTGGTAATTAATACATTTTGATGACAAATGTTGTCTCGGTACTCATAGTTTCTTTGGTAGGCGTCCTGCAAAAGGAAGAAAGGGATCGCTGTAGAGGGCAGACAGGAAATCGGTCATACTTGGAAGGTTGCTACAAAAGGAAGGGGGATGGCTACAGAGGGTGGACAGGAAGTAAGCATTTCTGGGAAGATCACTGGCATAGGAAAAAAAGACAGTTTTTCCTGGCCAAAACAAAAGGTCACATGGAAAGTCATCTTGTTTGTTTGGCACTTGTTTTTAGTGCTGTCATGCCTCCCAGAACCAATTAACATTGAGTACTGAGTACTACTATATTTATACTAACAGAGTAGTACCCTGTTTCCCTGAAAATAAAACATCCCCTGATAATAAGCCCAATCGGGCTTTTAAGCGCATGCCATAAAATAAGCTCCCCCCCCCGAAAATAAGCCATCCCCTGAAAATATTTAAACACATGCACAGCCTGGTCCCTGCCATTTCCTCTGGTTTCCTCCATGCGCCCCAAAATAATAAGACCTCCCCAAAAATAAGGCCAAGTGCTTATTTCAGGGTTCAAAAAATATAAGACAGGGTCTTATTTTCGGGAAAACATGGTACATAAAAAAATATCAGTTCTCCCTTCTCCTTATTAAGCAACATAATATTTATTACAATAATTGTAATTGTTTAGAACTGCCAGATGAAATTGAAGAGTATAACTCATGTTATACTACCACTAATAAAGGATCTTTACTATCAGTAGTAAAGAATTACTCTGCTAGTTGTTGCCAATTATAGGGAACAGTTTATCTCAGTTTCAAGGACCATTGAGTCAGTGTGGCCAAAGATATTTCCATGGTCATATGGCCAACATGATGTCACAGACTGCTGTTACCTTCCCACCAAAGTGGTACCTTGGGGTGATGCAGTGGTTCAGTGGTTAAGAAGCTGGGCTTGTTGACTGGAAAGCCAACAGCCCGGTTTCAAGACCTGAGCGTCACATAATGAGGTGAGCTTCTGTTCTAGCTCTAACTCCTGCCAACCTAGCAGTTCGAAAGCATGGAAATGCAAGAAGATAAATACTATCACTACATAATTCTTTTAAAAAAATTAAAAATCTTAGATACTGTCTGATATTCAGAAGCCCAGGTATACACTGCGTGTGTTTACCTAACGTGTTAGTTAATATGTTTGAATAAATAAAGTATTACATTTGGACTATGGAAGCCCCAATTTAAATTGTCACACATTCTTGGGGTTCATTGGATGATTTTGGCCAATCCTTAAACAATTCAACAGATTTATAGCAAGATGAAGTGCAAAAATATATATATGCATACTTTAACAGACAGGCAGATTTTTATTGGTGATAATTATGGATAAAAGTAGGACCTGTCAGGAATTTTGAGGGCCATGAAAAATACAATTCTTTGTGTATAAACATTATAGAGAAAAGCCGGAGCTGTAAAAGAGGGTATTTGAATTGGAAAGAAAAATTAGAAATGCTTCCATGTACTTGTGAAAGTTTTAGTAAAGCACACCTATTCAAGTCTAGTATTAATATTTCACTACCTTTAAAGTAAGGATAAATAACACTGCCAAGAGAATTATCAACAATAAGTTTACACATATAAGTGCTAATATGGACATATCATAAGTTTATAATATTGTAACTTATTATAATATTATAAGTTTATAATATTTTCTTGGTTTTCAGCTGTCACAAGAGGTTCAACTGTATTGATTTTATAGTATTTTCAAAAATTAAATTGTAGAGGTCACAGCTCCTTGATATTTACTGTATTGTAATAGAATTTTCTACATATTTGGAGCTGTTATTTATTGCCTTTTTGAATCTTATTTGGAATCCCATAAATCAAAAACATGACTGGTTGCAGAAAATTCAGTGAAATAGGGTAGTTATGGAAGATACGTTAAATTTAGCATCAGTATGTTTACCATTTCAAGTATATTTTAACAAGCACCAACCTAAATAGCATGTAAAGTGCATTGAAGATTTAAAGATAAGTTCTCAGTGTAAGTGCAAAAATAAACAAGAGTTTGAGTTGAACTTGATTCTTAGTAACTTGTCAACAGTTCAGAAATGGTTTGTTATTTCCTTCTTCAAATTTTTTTTAAAATTTTGAGTTTACCGTAAAAATTAACTCTAAATAAATTCTATATAAGCAGGGCTACAATTATGTGTATAACTTTTCCTTGTTAGCCCTTTTGTTTTTGAATAAGTATAGTATCATAATTAGAATTAATTTTCTTTATCCTTTAATCACTAAACTTTCAGATTTCAGCTTTGAAACACTGGACATTTATAGATCCTAAGAAGAAATAACTCAGCAGTTTCATACTTCTGCTTCATCCAGTTGCATTTTTGTTCATTTGTGTAGTTGTCACTGCAAATCTTTAAAATTACTTATTTTTGCTGAGAGTATTGAACTGACTAAACTAGTCAAGTTAAAATTTGATCTTTAAAACACTATTCTAACTGCAGACAATACATATTTTGTATAATACAGAATTACAGCAGGAAAAATAAATGGACATTTTAAATTTACAGGAAGCACAGTCTTATGCAGATGACAACAGTTTATTGTTCATGGAGACCTCAGCTAAAACATCAGTGAATGTAAATGAAATATTCATGGCAATTGGTAAGTGAACTCTTACTTAAAGTTACAGTTTAAAAATATTTTTGTGACACGTTAAGAGAGAGCAGTCATCAAAATTATCAGACTTCAGTGGCAAATGGACAGCCTGGTCTCTGATTGCTGCTTGTTAATAATAATTTGACATTTTTTATCATAAAATGCACTGCAATTTTATATAATTTACAGCTATTTTCAAATAGATAAAGTCAAAAGTATTAATGGAAGGCAGAATATTTAAATAAAAAGTAGATTAGCAAAGATAATGTTCACTTTGAGCATATAACTTGATTTATTTTTAACGAAGCACTTTTCTTCTATTTGTTTCTATTACAATATTTTCTGATAATGCTATGGTAGGCAGTTTATGGCCCCATAAATCACGATTGAGGAAAATTTGGTTTTATCAGAAGGAGCCCATATTTAATAAACGTATTAAATTAAAAATGATCTGAAGGCTGCTAAACATCTGGAATGGAATCCAGGCTTATTTGTGAACGTGGCCTAAACTAAGGCTTTAATTTGACATCTTATTCATTAGGCATATTGAGATGAGCCAGCTCAAGTAATACTAAACTCAAATTCAAAATTATATTTAATTTCAATATCTGAGAATATGCATTAGATCAGTTTTTACTGTTTGTATCAAATTCAGCTTATTCCAATGTTGTTCAGTTAATTGGAGCTGTACCATATTATGTTGACATTTTCCTTTATTCTTTTAAGTAAGTAAAGTTTCATTAGAAAGCATTTATATTTCCAATATGTTTGTAAAGTAATTTTGCAAACCTGTAAAAAAAGTATTTACAGGTAGTCCTCAACATATAACTGTTTAGTGATCCTTCAAAGTTACAGTGGCACTGAAAAAAGTGACTTATGACCATTTTTCACACACGCAACATCCCCAAGGACATGTGATCAAAATTCAGATGCTTGGCACACGACTCATTTTTTTAAAAAAAAATGATCTCTGCCCAGACACTCAGGGCGGCTTACAATGTGTTAAGCAATAGCCTTCATACTTTTTGTATATTTATACAAATTCAGCTTATTGCCCCCACAAACTGGGTCCTCAATTTACCTACCTTAGAAAGGATGGAAGGCTGAGTCAACCTTGAGCCTGGTGAGATTCGAACTTACAGTAATTGCAGACAGCTGGTGTTAATCACAATGCTTTCAGTCTGCTGAGCCACCAGGCCCGCAAATTTATGATTACCGTATTTTTCAGAGTACAAGACACACCTTAATTTTGGGGGAGGAAAACAAGAATTCTGCCTCTGCCTACCAGCATCAGGAGCAGCGGCGTCCTCACTTCCATTCGGATTTTGATAACGAATAGCACAGATCTTTTTATTAGTTTAAAACAAATCCTATCACTATTTAACTGGAGTAGGTAGGGTGGGAGATGATTTTCATAGGGGCAGAAGAGGGACTTGGCACCAAAGGCTCCACTCTGGAGACGCCCCCGTCTTCCTACCTATAGCTGTAGGCGTTGAAAGCCTGGCATTCTTGCAGCAATGCCCCATAGAGATGCAGCACTTCAGTCCTCCTTGACACTGCCATCTCATAAACACGGTGCCGGGCTTCCCAGCAAGCCCCCTGCACCTTTGCTGCCTTGGTCGGAGCTTGATTCCAGAAGCGGCCCAGGGAAGCACAGAGGTCGGGACTTGGTTGGCGAAGCAGGCGCTGTGCAGGGGGCATAAGGCAAGGTGCTGCCACCCAAAACACTGTTGCTGCAATCTCCACTGCCTGGATTTCTCTGCTGCCTCCCCAATTCCAAAAATGGGGCGTGCAGAGGCAAAGAAAGAGCATTGCGTTTTTGGGCGGTTCCAGGCAGCGGAGATCGCGGCAACAGTTTTTGGGTGGCAGCACCTTGCCTTGCACCTCCTGCGCAGTACCCAGCAAGCTACCAGTTCCTTGAAGATGCAAGCCCACTCAGCACACTCGAAACCTGCAGATGGTCTGCACGGACCACCCACACCCTATGCCGCACAGCAGCCATGGGGGCAAAAATCTTGGGAGGTTAAGGAGAAGTCTACTGCTGTAGGGAGTGGGGATCTCCAGTCTTTGCACAAGTTGTGAAGGCAGCCGTTAGAACTGCTGGAGCTGCTTCCAGGCAGGGAGAACTTCGAGTTCTCGGTGGCTAAAGGAGAAGAAGAAAACTCTGGGCATGTTGAGAACACACACACTCCTATTGCTGGAAGAAGGGGAGAAGGGCTGCTTCTCCTGCAGTCCCCATCCGTCTGTCCCCTGTCCTTGTGCCTACACTCCTCCCTCCTCAGCCACCTTCTCCTCCCAAACGGTCTTCGTGCCCAGAGGGGCTCCATCTGCAGTCGAGGTTGGTTTCCCCCTCTTGCTCTCTTAAACTGAACTGCACTGCGGCTCAATTGTGATCGTAAATTGAGGACTATCTATACTTAAAACAGTACTGAGCTGTTTTCTACATTTTCCTTGTGTATTTCATAATGAATATAATTCTATATTATTAAGGTTAGAAAAGAAAATTAGAACTAAAAATAATCCTGAATATTAAAAAAATTATTAAGCAGAAAAATTAATTTGAGATATAAACTAAGCAAAATGTATTATTTCATTCCCATAAAACTATGTTAATGTCCAATTTTGCAGCGTTTCTATTTCCAGGATATCAGCGATTTATATAGAAAAATTGACTTATTGACTACTTTGTGATAAACCATGGGTTTTTTCAACGTATTTTTAAAAATAAGTCACAGTGAACCATAATGGGCAAGTTTAAGCTATACACAGACAAGCCATATTGAAGTAGCTCCATAATCTTTTGGATCTTTTGAAGAAGAAATGCATGTGTGCTGCCAAAAAAGTACATATAGTATGAAATATATGGTATAGTTATTGGAGCTAGCTGCTGGTAGAGCCAAGTTAAAACAAGCATATTCCAGAAACACTGTGTAAGACCAGGTGAATTTCATCAATTTATGTGGAAGGTTAGTCAGAATAAAAAAATATTGACTATGCTGTATAGTGCTATTAGCTATAAATATACATAGCTAATCCTTATTTTTTTAATTATATATATATACATACTAATTTTGCTATATTTTTATAGCTAAAAAGTTGCCGAAGAATGAACCACAGAATACGGGAGCTAATTCTGGTAGAGGAAGAGGAGGAGTAGATCTTACTGAACCAACACAACCAACTAAGAGTCAATGTTGTAGCAACTAAACTTTCAGCTGCTTTAAACTGTCTTGAATATTCTTCCACTTCCTAACTTGTTAATAACAATGGAATTTGGAGTATTTAACCTGGCCCAATACAGCTTCCAAAACTGAAGAGACTTATGAAATAGTTGTTTCTAATACAGAATGATTTTGTCCTAATTTTTAATAACATGCATGTATCACTGGCTGTTATGTTTCAACAATGGGGTGGGGTGAGGAAAGAAGCTGGCTAAACCTGCTTCAGTTAAGAGGTTTTTAACTGGATTACATGTCATTAGGAATAGAGATTGAACTGTTCCATGGATCTGCAGCTAACCAGTTAGTTCCTCAAGTGTTGGATATTGGTTACTGTTAAAGTGTAATGAATAGAATTTGGATTCTCCATTTGTGATTTTGAAAAGGAAAAAAAAAGGTTAATATACCTTCTGAACTTCCTGTAAGCTTATTAACAGTATTTATGCAAAATGTTTATGTGGGGTAATTACCATTTAAATATACATTCCACATTTTCATAATTTAAGTGAAATATGTGAAACATTAACAATTTTATTGACCCTGTGCTTGCAGAACAATTGGTTTTCTTTAATTATTACACTATATATAAATTTGTCAAAACCCAGTTTAATTTTTTTTTAAATCAAGCTTCACACGTTTCCTGCTTTTAAAATGTTACAACCAATGAATTCAACTTCTGATGCAACACAACATATTTCCTAACAAACTATTGAGACATATCTTATAAAAACTAGTTAGCTGATTTTGATTTTAATCAGTGTTGACCATTAACACAATTACCTTTTCTCTAAGAATGTAACTGGTCAGAGCACTAACAATTATGTACATTCAACTTGATTTTAAATTGGGATGTTAATGTACTGTAAATAGGGTACTGCATTATAGTCTATATCTGTTTAATACTCTGTACTATTTAAGAGTTGCTTAAAAGTATACATATGTACAGTTACTTTAAAGAGCTAACATTTCATTTTCCCCAGATTGCAAGGGCAATTAAGTTCTTCCTTCATGGCTAGAACAGTAATAAAAGATGCTCCTGTACCTGTAACATAAATACTACTGTCTGTCTGTAATGAATTCTGCAACGTTGTTTCCCAAAGTCCATTTTATTTTGATTTGTCCGGTATATTGCACTAATTCTTTAGTTATTTTCATTATATGAAATCTACCAAGTGTCAGAAAAGATGATTTAATCTATTTAAATGTTGAACTGCTAGCAAAAACTTACATGTGCAGATGTAAATTTGCAATAATTTGGGTTTAGCAATGAAAATGACAGTTCACCAGTGTTTAGTTTTATATTGAGGTGCTCAGGTTTGAATAAAGTGGTATAAAAAGGAAATCATAGTAATCATTCTTTTTAAACAACATGGTAATCATTTTTTAAACAAGTATTTATTTTGTATGTATTATGCCAGTGTTTCTTACTCTGTTTTTCCCATTAGTGCATCAATGGGTACATTATCACATCCATTTAAGAGAGCTAACAGTACAGAAACATTATTTCTAGAACCTGCTTTAAGGGCAGCTTTTACTAAGTGCTTAGTAATATATTTTGCTGCAAGATTGTAAAATGTTCTAGAATCTGTTTCTGAATCTTCACATATCTGTAAAAATTCATGACTTTCAGATATCAGGTCTTCTGAATTTTTGTTAATTTCTTTTTGGGTTACGTTAGTGCCTGGTGGAGTATTTTCTTTTGAAGATGTAGGAATATTAACTGGTGTTTCTAAAGAATTTTCTGAGGGTTGCTTTGTAGAAATAGTACCGCTTTTTGACTCAATTACTACTTCTTCTTCTGTGCTATTGTTAATTGGGAGCTTTAACTGAAAACTTGGATCAGTTTCCTCTTCATTGCCTAAATCTGATTCAGGAAAAAAATCACGATTCATATACCATGAGTAGAATTGATCTTCCAAAGATAACTTTGAAGCTTTGGGAATGTAATTTTTCATCAATAAGGCATGTTGATATTTTGCCAAGTAAGCAGAAAACAAAGTTATTGTTAATAGCACAACTTCACTTTTATCCAAAACTTCCCAAAGTCCATTAGTTGCTATAATAAGAAATTGACATGAGTTATCAACAGAGAAAGAGATTGTATTTGGTACAGGAATAACTGTTTTCTTCATCTTTGGGTTTCCATGATGGCCAAGGCCACGAGTATTTTTTATTAGTCCTTCTATTAGTCCTTTAGGCTCATTACTGCTGATGGATCCACCATTCTGAAGAATGCGTCGCCTTTCCTCTCTGCAGTACGTGGAGTGTTCTTTAGTAAGCCAATAGCTCTTTCCATTTTTGCATAAAACTGCATGAACATTACCTAAAAAATTTTTAAAAATCATTATATAATTTTGAAGACAATATATACAAGAGATTTTAGTTTCAAGTATTGTTTGTGCTGTATCAGCACAATGCTTTTCCATATCTTGAATAAGGTGTAATTTTCAACATAGCAGTATGGATATGTAACAATCTGAATACAGTACTATAACACTCTGACCTTATGTGTATTTGTGTGCATATCTTGTATAGTAGCCTCTCATGGTTCCTAGTCAAATTCTGATTTTTAAAAACCATTTAAGGTGTTTTCTAAAAGTTTGTACTACACATTACAAAAATGTTGCTGCTTATATGAGGAAATGTGGTTTCCCAACAGGACTAAACAAAATTAAGGCCACTAAAAGGAGAATGAATTATCAATAGGCTTCAGCAAATACCTGAGGTATATAAAAGTAAAGCTACATAAAACTATGATGGCTGACTTAGCCATCTGAAATGTACAATAAATCTACATTTAAAAAAAAAATCAAGCCTGATTAATGCCCTGTGATAGTTCTTAAAAGCCAGAGAACATTAGGAAGAAAGTGTTGCCAGTTGTGTAAAGAAAGTGTAAAATTACCAACTTGGCAACTTTAAATCGTGTAGCTCCCAAAATTCCAGGTGGGAGTTGAAATCCACTTGTCTTAAAATTATCAAGTTTGACAAACACTGATATCAGAACAGCCTTTGACAGATTGATGTCTCTGAAATATTTTGGAACTGCAACTTCCAAACTCAGCAGTTTAGGTAACATAATTTTTGGTATCTAGATTATAGTAGTTATGATTACTAAGGCTATGTGTGCTATGAAATTATCTGCTCTGAAACCTTTTGGGTACGATGAGCATACATTAATTTGTTGTCAGTAATGCCACATAATGCTTATCTGACTAGAGTTTCTCTTAAATAGTACTCTGCCTCAAATAACCAAAACTCTGAACTGAAAAAATGTTTTGAATCCAGGACAAGTTGCATTCCAGAGGTTCTATTTAACTGTTTAAGCTCAGCCGTGATTCAGAAGAAATAAAACCTAATTTGGTTGTCCTAGACTTTGATCAAAATAAAATCTCAAGGAATCCCACAATGATTTTACAAGATGAGACAAGATGGCTAATGTCTACCACCTGCTTTCCTTCATCACCTATTTTTTTTCAACAATTTGCAGTTCAGTATATCCCACCAGCCTGCCTGCCTGTCCACCTGATCTTCCCAGCCCCCTTGTACTGACCTATGCACCAATTACTATGACATAAAGAATAGGATAAATCTTAGCATGATTTATTCCACTCCCCCCCACTTTGTTTTTCTCAGTGCTTCCTCTTTGCTGCTGCTGTCTTTTTTTTTTTACTCATCCCAGCTGCAAAACACTTATGCTGGGAGTAGCTGTTTTAGCTCTATATGCGGTGGCTCAGTAGCTAAGATGCTGAGCTTGTCGATCAAAAGGTCGGCAGTTCAGTGGTTGGAATCCCTAGTGCCTTGTAACAGGGTGAGCTCCTGTTACTTGTCCCAGCTTCTGCCAACCTAGCAGTTCGAAAGCATGTAAAAAATGCAAGTAGAAAAATAGGAACCACCTTTGATGGGAAGGTAACAGCGTTCCATGCGCGTTTAGCCAGGCCGGCTCATGACCACGGAGACATCTTCGGACAGCGCTGGCTCTTCGGCTTTGAAACGGAGATGAGCATTGCCCCCTAGAGTTGGAAATGACTAGCACGTATGTGCAAGGGGAACCTTTACCTTTACCAACCAAAACACTCAGAACCCAAACAATCTGAGTCGCCATGGGTGAATAGGTGGCAATATAAATTTAATAAATAAATAACCTAAAAACAACTATTCTGGGCACAGAAAGGCTCCTATAAGAAATTTTTAGAAATCCTTATTGAAAGCTTCACTGATGACAATCAAAAATATTCAAAGTCCAATGTGTCCCAAGGGCTAAAAACAACAATTTTTCAGAACCTAATGGATAGGGTCAATTATATCCCCATTTTTAAGTTTTTAACATTACATAGCATTTATTAATTTATTACTGTAATATTTATACCCCACTGTAATTCAATGGTTTGGTGGCAGGATTTAAAAGCTCCAGCATTGCAAGATTAATAGATAGTACATATATCAGGCCACCAATTCAATAACCCAAATAAGTAAGATGGGAAATTTTTGGCTAATACTTCTATTAGACCAACAGTAGATGCCTTTCCTACCAGAGATTTGCCTACATTCACATTCAAGTTCAAATCTTTATTTAAACTTTCCTAAATTTTACTGCTTAAAATCCTGTCTATATCCTGGACAGGTTTTTTTTTATAACTACATATGGTAGGATTCTACTTCAATTTTAAAAAAGATCTTTGTATGATAGCTGAATTTTCCAAAAACACATTTAGCTAATACACTCCAGTGTGAGTGAAAGCAATATGATTCGTTACAGGTAGTCCTCTGCTTACAACCACAATTGGGATTTGAATTTCCATTGCTAAGTAATATACTCACTTAGCAACAGCAGTCCTGGCATATCCTGTTACTGTTATTAACTAAATTCCATCAATTAGCTGGGGACCTATACCAATCCAAACCATTTCAGGCCTGGTTCCTCCCAAACCCTGGTATGGAAGGGACTACTTCCTCTTCAACTCCCCCATCCACCTGTCTCCTTTCCCCCCCAATCTCTGCCCTTTTAGCCAGCCCTGGTCAGCAAGCAGTCCCACAACCACATGGCTCTGGTGCTGCTTGCCACTCAGTTGGTCAAGGGCTTCTTGGCATACCATAGCTCTAGGGCTGCCAGAAGCCCCAAAGGTGCAGCACTCCAGGAAACCTCAGCCACCCTGAACCAGTTCTAACCACAATAACCCTCATCATGTGCTCTGTGTGGACTCTGCCTCCCTGTGTTCATCTGACCTTCGTCAGCTTCTGTTCTTGCTGCTGACAAGGTATGCCTGCCCTGACCTTCACAAGGCAGCTGTTGGCCAATGAAGCCATCTTCTCTGGGTCTCACAAAGAAACTGCTCCATACAACTTTGGGACAAAAATATCATGTGGCCAGTAGTTGTCTTTTAATGTGCCAGGTGTACATGCTTGGTCAGCATTGGAAGCAAGAAAATGGCAAAGCTCAGCTAGGGCAATAAGGGTCATGGATAGCAGTGGGCCAAAAGGATACAGATGGGGGAAATAGGCAGGGGGGAGGAGTTGAAGGGGTTGTGGTAAAAGTGGACTGCCAATGACTTAAATTTTTATCATGTGATCATAGTGTGCTGCAACAGCCATAACTGGCACTTCATTCAGCATCAATCTAATTTTGAACATAGAATAAATGGTTGTAAATCAAGGACTACCTGTACAATTTGATTGGGATCACTCATAATTCAAGTTATGCTTTGCTCAGATAAATCAACAATACTAACCAGAGTTATTTGTCATAAAATTGAACTGAACTAACAATATATTTAGAAAAAGATATCTTCATAGATTATAAAATATCATAAATTATTAGGAAAGTTCTGCTGAAAAATTTATCATTGCACAATCAATACAATAAATGATTATTCTAGATTTATTCCTAGAATAATTCTAGAGTTCAATAGCTAACAGTTGTGTACCACCCAGAGAAACAAGATGGGAGAGTAAGAGGGAAACATAATATTCTGAATTTTATGACTTTATACATACCAATGTTAGCAATATGCATTATTCCATCAATTTCATCTGAATTCTCATTGTTTTCAATCCAACCTTCTTCCTGGATCTCATCTTTATGATTTGTTGGTTGCTCATTATCTGCTGACTCTATGATGCTTTTTTTCATTCCATCATTTATACTTGTAAATAGTTCTCCAGGATGTCCTGTGAGAGAACATGCCTCTTGCTCTGTGTTGTTCTGTCCCTTTCCATGACAGATTCTTGTAAGTGGCTCTTCTTGGTGCAGTTCTATTTCAGAGTCTTCCTCTTGTTCTGTGTTGTTCTGTTCTTTTCCTTCACTTACTTTTCCAAGTGGCTTCTCTTCCTGCTGTTCCATAATTTTGTCTACTTCTTGTTCTATGATACTTCTTATCATTATTCTGTTTGTTTTAGGTAGTCCCTTCTCATGTTGCATGAAGTTCTGCTCATCATTATCATTTATTGTTTCAGCTGTTTCTTCCCCTTCTTGTTCTTCTTGGTTTTGTTTTATGTTGCTTGTCATTTCTACTAAACATATGGCAGTTGTACAGCTACTCCAGCGAACTCTGGAAACTTCACCTCGTCCAAGACGTAAAAGCCTATCCATTCTCCAAAAAGCTTTTGCAAATGCTCTGTGAATCCATTCATACTTATTTGGTTGTGAGTTTTGGCTTCTGGCTTTTGCAACAGCAAATGCTTGCTCCTTTACTTCATAATCTTCTTTAAAAATAGTGCAAAAAGAATGAAGCATGTTTTTTTCAGCATTGCTAATCTGATAGGAGGAATCATTATGAGAAAGCTGGTCAAGAAGTAGAAGAGGAAGTTCATCTGAAGTTAACTGAGCAGCAGAAATTCCATTACTTCCATCAAACAGTCCAAGTAAGCAAGTATCTTTCTTGTGCCCATAATTATCTAGTACAATATACACATCTTCCATTTCTGTGTGCCAAACAGCATTTTTATCTTGACAAATTGCTATGGCTTTAATCAGTGGATTGCTTACTTCTTTAATATACACCGAACTTTGAACAATGTTATCAATGCAAAAGTATGGAGCAATTTTTATGCTCTCCTTAAGAAGATCAATGGAACAACCAATCTTTTCTATCTCTCGTTCAGGATATTGAGCAGTTTTTTGCAGTTTTAAAATGAGTTGCTTTCTCCGAAGGATAATTTTTTTTATATCTATAGGCTCCACATATGGCCACTGATAATCCAGTACAGCTTGAGCTTGGTGGACTTTTTTGTGATGAAAAAGTTGGCTGATGTATACCATTTCTTCACAAATGGAACATGGGATTCTAATATTTAAGCTTTCAATTTGCTTGAAATCAATGTTAAGCACCTTTGATAAATCCTGTTCCTCTTTGCAGGATTCAGAGTTTTGTAGTTTTTGTTCCTCTTCACTAATTTCAGAGTTTTGTAGCTCTGTTTGGTATGTCATTCTGGGGTGGGGGGAATAAATAAAATGTGTTACAATAATTATTAAACAAATCTAAAAAATATAGGTCTTGATCCAAGAAGTCTCAAAAGTAGTTTTGAAACACGGGGGGGTTTCAAAGAAGTCTGACATAGATGAAGCAAGGAAGAAATTAACTATTGAAAGGTGCCGGGGATCCCTCCAAATCCTTTTGGCAACTGGTTGTAGATCCCAAAGAAATTATGAATAACTATATCTATTATTTAATTATAGTGAATTGTCATTGAATACTGCAAAGCATAACTTCACAGGCATGTGCTAAAGAATGGATCCCATGTGTGGAGGTAGGGATGAGATTCCTTGGGAGAGGTCTTACCCTATTATCTGGAAACGGTTTTAACCTATTGACCCTGTTGAAGTGGACAAGGTCCTAAATGTTGTTGGTGTCACCATCTGCCTCTTAGATTCTGTCCCTCCTGGATGGGTGAAAGTTTCTAGGTGGATGCCTAGCAAATGGATTCAGGCAGTAATTAATACATCACTAGAGGAGGAAACATTTCCCGAGGCTTTTATGGAGGCCTTGGTTCACCCCCTCCTTAAAAAACCATCACTGGATCCCACATGCTTGGACAACTTTCATCTAGTTTCCAATCTCCCCTTTGGCGGGAAGATTGTAAAAAAGGTAGGTGGTGGTGTGGCAGTGTCAGAGGGTCCAGAATGAAACAGATTATTTGGCCCTCCTTTAGTCAGGCCCAGTTATGGGACACAAATAGCATTGGTCATGTTTGCCGTGCCTTGAAGTCGTGAAGTCCTGGATAGGGAACATTAGGCTTTGACTGAACCCTGGAAAGATCAAAAGGCTTTGGATACATGAGGCCCTGAAATCTGGCACTTTGTCATCTTTAACTCTGGATAGTATAGTACTACTCCAGACATATCTGGTCCACAACTTGGGGGGTCTCCTGGATTCACAAATATTGCTTGAAGAGCAGGTGGCAGTCATGGATAGGAGAGCTTTTGCACAACTTTGGGTTGTGTGCCAGAGCTGCCTTTCCTGGCTCAGGAGTCCCTGTGTTCAATTGTTCAGGCCCTAGTCATTTCACGGTTAGGCTACTGCAATATGCTCTGCATGGAGCTACCCTTGAAGAATATTCGGAAGTGACGGGTGATTCAGAGTGTGGCAGTGCAGTTCTTGGAGATTAAAGAATGGCACATGTAACACCACTGCTCTGAGAGCTAAATTGCCAGTTTCCTGGTGCAATTCAAGGTATTGGTAATCACCTTTAAAGCTCTTCATGGCATAGGTCCAGACTACTTGAGGGACCATCTCATCCCACAGAGATGGCAGAGGAGGCAAGCTATGGGTTCCATCAGCCTGATTATTCCAGCTGATGGGGCCCAGGAGAAGGGTCTTCTCTGCTGTTTCATCTGTCCTCTGGAACCTTTCCCCTCAATATGAGGTCAGCCCCAACCCTCTGACCTTTCATAAGAGCCTAATCACCTGGCTCTGCAGGTAGCTTGGGGCTCCAATGGGAAGCATCATGGTGAGGTAGTTGATCGATTAACAACAGATTCCACCCTGCTTCCCCTCCCCATCTGTAATTGAATTACGGTGTTTTGTATTAAGTTACCCTGTGATATGGTGGGTGGCCAATACATTTTTATAAATAAACAATTTAATAAATAAATAAATAAACTTAAACTAAAGTAGATAAGAGTAAGAATCTATTCTTATTAATCTAGATAATTTATGCTTAGTTTAGATAAAGTAAAATAATTCTATTCTTAAACACTTTGATAGCTCTGAAAAATGTATAGACTTGATCTGCAAATGCATGATTTTTTTTTAAATCATGTATTATTATTGTAATATGGGGGGCAAAGGAAAAAAACTGATACAAAAAAATGTCCTTCAACTTCTTACAATGCACAATGCTAATTCAGTGTGTTTTGAAGAAATGCGCAATTTATTGAATTTTTTAAAACTCTCAGATTGAAATGAGATTATAACTTTCAAAATCTGTTCCATCCTACAATTTCCAACATTGTTAAACTTTGCTACATTGCCACCCTGTATTATATGGAAAGAAATTCAAATTGATCCAAATTGTTCCATTTCTTGGATTTTGAGGAAAACGAGCCTCAAAATTTCTCAAATTGGTGTAATAAACCAGCAATAAAATATCTTATAGCAGTTATCTCCAAGTGTAAAGTTCTTTTTTCCATTGAAATTATCACTGTCCATTGCTATAACTGCACTGAAATTTTATATCAGTTTAATCATGCAGATTTTAATTTATAAAGGATCTGAATCCTTTATAAATTTCACTACTGTGTTTCCCTGAAAATAAGACCCGGTCTTATTTTCTTTTGACCTCCAAAATAAGCACCAGGGGTCTTAATTTTTTTTGCCTTACCTTTCTGAGCAGCTCACTTCTCAGAAAAGCCAAAAACAGCATTTTGGCTGCGGCTTCTGCGGCTGCAAAAGATATTGTTGGTGCTCTCTGACCATGCTTGAGGCCAGTGAGCAGGCACATTTGGAGCCACAGGTGCAACTTCGAGTGTGGATAGCCGCAAGGTTCATCACACCCTCGCAGCAGCACGCCGACTGTCCCAGTGTGACGAACCTCACGACAATATCGCCACTCGCAGGTGCAACGGTACAATGAGTCTTGCTGCATCCTGCTGCGAGGGGCTGTGTCATTGCAATGAGCCTCATGAAAATCCATTTCTGGTGAAGTTTGGGGAAGAGAAACAAGTCAGAGTCTCTGCTGCTTCTGCTTTCCTTGTGTGCAGCCAAAATTTTGCAAAAGGCAGGAAGGTGAAATGCCAAGCTCGACCCATATCCACACCTCGTGTATTAACCCCACTTTCTCAGCCTACTACCCAAGCAATCTTCCCCTCCTGCTGAGGCTTTAGGAATACTTCGCAAGTGAATTCACTCACCATTTTGCCATGAACCTCTCGGCTACTGACTGAGGGCAAAGCTAAAGCAGGAAGAAGCGGCCACTCGTATCCTGCCATGACTGACTGCGAGCGGCTGCAGAAGAAATCAGCAGCGGTGTGACAGGTGTTGGGGCATTGGAGACCTGGCTGCGCCACTCCTAAAGTGGGTGCGGAGTGCATGGGACAGCTCCTTTCCCTCCCATCTCCCCAACTTGATTTTTAAGCCTGCGCCTCACCCCTTCTCGTATAACCAGACATTGGGTGGGGCTTAACTTGGGCTTATTTTTGATGCAAGCATGAAAATCAGACAAGGGCTTGTTTTTAGGGTAGGTCATATTTTTGGGAAAACACGGTACTATTTCACTACCTGATTATCAAAGAGCCTAGATGATCAGAGACAAAAATAACAAAAACTTTTCTGAAAGACTAGAAACTTTATGTAGAATTTTCCTACATTTAGGAAAATGAAATGATTTATGAATTTGAAAATTAAGAAGGATGTGGAGTAATTGAGAGTTGAAGGGACTGGAACAACTACAAGGGAGAAGGGATAATAAGATTGTAATTATCTGTTCAAAAGATTAGAAATCATTCATATTTTCTTTACATTTTTCCATTGAAATTATCTGTGAAGGTTCGCAAAAGCATTTCTAGTCTGCTCTCGAGTTGCCATTATCACTGTTCCATTTCATTTTCTTTCTTGCACTTTTTTCTTAGCTTTTTTCTTTTGATTTGACTTTTATGTAAAAATTATTAATAAATGTATAAAAATTATATCATTGAGCACAGCAAAGGTTAATTCTAAATTATAAGTTTTTCAAATTTAGTCAAAAGCCTCAGTATTCCCCTTGTTCCTCTAATCCTGTTGTTGCTATGCTACTTATTTGAATATTGGAATCAGCTAAGTGTGGAAGTGCACTGTGTAACAAAAGATTCAAGATATCTTTATTTTGTTCTATTAACAAAAAAAAAATCTTGTAATCTAAACAGATTGTTCTCTCAACTGAACAAATTTCTTAGTATTTTCTTCCTAATAAAAATAGACATCCAGTAAGGAAGCAAGAGGAGGGAACTATGGACATTTTTTAAATCTATATCACAGATGTTCAGTAAAATGCTTAATAACAGCCTCTAAAATTATTGTTTTCTCAGTATATTGACTCAGATGTATCAATGTGGTCCCTATGGAAGGTCTTTCTCCATCCCCATCTAAAGAAAGCATGATGACCCTTGTACTGGAAATGAAGTACTCACAAAAATTGATAAACACTCAATAATTCTGCAGTATGGTGTTAATGTAAGACCTTATATTAATACATTTAAAATCCAGATTCCACTGACTGGATGAAACAACATCTGGCTCCATGTCTACAAATCAAAAATTTTACCTATTTAAAGTTTGACGGTAGGTTGAGATTATTTCAGTGCCTAACCTCCAACTAGTTTACAGATTACAAGCAGATTTCTTCTTTGTTATGATGGTTATTCTCAAGTGTTATTGGGACACCATTACTCAGCCTAATTTAGTTCACATTGTCTTTGTGTGTTTAAATATAAGTGATAGGGGAATGGGGAGGCATCATTTATCTTTTATAAAAAGAAGAAAATATCCTAAACTATTCTTAAATTATTTTCAAACATTTGCCTAAAGTAGGAAGTCATTAAAATCCTACAAGCTAGGCTCCAGCAGTATGTGGTCTGAAAACTACCAGAAGTGTAGGCAGAATTTTGAAGAAGCAGAGGAACTAAAGATCAAATTGCCAACATACGCTGGATCATGGAGAAAGCTAGGGAGTTCCAAAAAAACATCTACTTCTACTTCATTGATTATGTTAAAGCCTTTGATTGTGTGGATCACATCAAATTGTGGCACATTCTCAAAGAGATGGGAGTACCAGACCATCTTATTTGTCTCTTGAGAAACCTGTATACGGGTCAAGAAGCAACAGTGAGAACTGGACATGGAACCACTGATTGGTTCAAAATTGAGAAAGGAGTTCGACAAGGCTGCATGCTGTCGTCCTGCCTATTTAACTTATATGCAGAGCACATCATGAGAAAGGGGGGACTAGATGAATC